ATTTCAAGGTTATGTGCATAGGATATAGAATATTGTCTTTCCCCCGCCATTCTGTTTAAAGAGTTTTTTTCAGTTTTCCATGGGTGCTAGTAACATAGAGACTTTCATTTCTAATGATGCAGTTTTCATTATTCTCATACTGCTCATTAGCCTGTGATGGGCACTCCCCACTTTGTTCATAATATGAATACATTTTCATCTGTTGTGCTTTAATTATTGGTTAAGTCTACTTTGACCTCTCTTTCACTTATTTCTGACTGTGGCAGCGCTAAATTTTTCAATAAGTTCCTTGAAAGTAGTAGGAACTGTGCCCACTTAGCATATTCTCTGTGCTTCCGATAACACGATACCATGCATAGAAAGTAGCTTTTGATTAATGACCTATTTGTTATTAATACATTCCAGATCAAAATATTAGAGCTGGAAGAGACCTTAGTGGTTGTATAATCCAGACTTGTTTCACAGAACAGAAAATGGAAGTGCAGGAATAAGAAGTGGCTCAATGACCTAGCTGGTCACTGGTGAGGCCAAGAAAAGACTCTGGGTCTCTGATCCTTCTTGACTTGTGTAAGGAGAGCTGTGATCCCAAATAGTGTTTGCTTTATACTCTGAAGTGTTTGCCTTGCTTCTACTATACAGAATTTTCTGCAGAGGGTATTTGAGAAATGTTTAGACAAAACATTTACAGATCCTATTAAAGCTGACTATGATGTAGGTGAAAAAAGGGGCATGTATAGGGAGTTGTAAAGACAGACAGAAAGATATTTTTCATAGCTGATGATCATGAAGTTTAGGAAAGGCATTAACCTGGTTGATATTGCCTACGTTTTAAAAAAAACACACACTCATTTAAAAATCAACAAAGCAATAAAACTCAGGGTTCAGTTTTCAAACGCCAGCAATATTATATAGGTTCACAAACGCAAAACCCTGGTCTTGCTCTCACTAACTTTCAAGGTTGATCAGGCAGAATGAAAAAGGGAGGAGAAATTTCTCAAGCAGAGAGGATAATAGCCTGCCCTTCTATATTACTTGCATTTTTATTTCCAGCTCTGCCACTGACTTACTATATGACCTTGAGTGAGTCATTTCATCTCTGCATGTCAATTTTCTCAATTTGTAAAGTAGGATAATAAATACTACTTTCTGTCTCTCTCATGGGTGATGTTATCATCATCATCATCAATTAAGATTTATTGGATGCCTATTGGGCTTATAATGCTGAGGTAGGTGGTTTATCCTAGGGAGGAGAAGGAGATTGCATCGATAAAACATTTTCCATGAGCAAAAAGGTAAAAGACTTACAAAAGACAGAATTATTAGAGCTTAAAATAGCTATGGTATATATTTAAAGCATGCTTCTCTGCCTAGATTTATGCAACAGCATTTTTTTTCTTAGTGACTGTATAATGCACCAAGATGACTGTGGTACAGAATTCTGGTTTTACTTTTGGATAATTCCAAGCAACACTATCTTAAGCAATTACTACAGATTCACTGTATAGCTATAAATTATATCCTAAGCATCATTTACTTAGCACTATTTATTGTTTATTGATGGAATTGGATCTATTTTGCATAGCCACTAATTTTGTTTTGAAAAAAACACCTATTTATTAACAGAATAATAACACATAAAATATGTAACACTGTAACTAACACCTTTTCTTCAAAGAGAATGATCAGAAATCTGAAGAGTGACCCATTAGTGCATTTCATCTAAAAGCAAAAAATCAAAGCTGGTTCGTCCACCCTGGTCAGCCCAAATGAATGTGAGTTCCTTCCTCCCGTCTTCGTCAAATCAATCCTGTCTTCCCATCCCACGTTCACCAGATTCAGGCCCTTCTTACCTCTCATCTGGACTATAGAATAGCCTCTGATCTTGTGTCCCTCACTCTTCTCTTCCTTTTACTGTCTGTCCTTACACCACTGACAAAAGGATCTTTCAGGGTAAATCTGTGAATGAATAAACAAAATGTGGTATATATACATATATATTAAATACATAAAGTATTACTTAGTCTTAAAAAGGAGTGAAATGCTGACATCACAATGTGGAAGAACTTTGATGGTATTATGCTATGTGAAATAAGCCAGATGGAAAAGAACAAATACTCTGTGATTCCACTTACATGTGGTACCTAGAACAGGCAAATTCATAGGAAAAGAAAGTAAAATAGTAGTTACCAGGGGTTGGGGAGGGGTTAATGGAAAGTTGTTTAAAGAGCGAGAGTTTCTGTTTGGAACGATGAAATAGTCCTGGAGATGGATAGTGGTGATGGTTACAAAATATTGTAAATGTACTTAATACCACTGAATTGTACACCCAGAACTGGTTCAAGTGGTATGTTTTATGTTATGTATGTTTTACCATAATAAAAACAATTTTTTTAAAAAGTAAATCTGGTCCTTCCTATCATTTTCTTATTCATAAATGATTATTAATTATTTACAATAAAGCCCGAACTCCTTGGTATGACAGTTAAAATCATTCAGAATCAAGCTCCAACTTACCTTTCCAATGTTATCTCTGACCACATCTACACCACAACCCTACCTTTCAATCATATTGGCAAAATGCAAGGCACCAACCCTGAATCTTCCTTTGTTCCTCCATTCCTTAACTCTCCAGTTTTCTTCAGCCTGGAATACATGCACTTTGCTTCCACTCCCTTCATCCTCATTGTTGAAACGTAACAAATCTTTGAAGCCCAACTCAAAACGAATTTCTCTGTGAGGTCTCCATGACAGTATCACAATTGCTCCAACTATGGATGGTCTGATCACAATATGTCTTCTTTTAATTATGTATGAACTCTGACTATAATGTGAATTCTTTAATGGTAAGGGTTATTTGTTGTCTTACCTTTGCATGCAGTAGTGATTGGCAGAAGTTATTTTTGTTTATCTTTCCATGCAATGATGATAATCAGAGCAGAGACTAGGGTGAGAGAAGTGAGGAACTTATGGTACAAAATTTGTATGACCCTGAAAGTGAGTTCCTTGTGTTTTGTACCCTATCCTAGATATCTCACATGCCTCAACTTAGTCTGAACCCCTGTGATTAGCTATTTACCTTGACATCAGTAAGTGCATATAACGCATTCTGTAAGTTATCTACTACTGCATAACTACTTTTTCCAAAACCTTAACAGCTTCAAACAACTTGCAGTTGCAGGGTCATGAATTTGGGAGTGGCTTAGCTCAGTGGTTGTGGCTCTGGAGTTATTATGATGATGCAGTAGAGATGTCAGTGGGGGCTGCAGCCATCTGAAGGTTTGACTGGAGCAAAAACATCAGGTTCCCAGATGGCTCACTTACCTGGCTATTGTTGGGAGGCATCATTTCCTTGTCATGTGGTCTTCCCCTCAGGGCTGCTTGAGTGCCCTCACAACATGGCAGCTGACTTTTCTTAGAGCAAGTGGTCCAAAAGAGGGGCTAGGCTGAAGCTGTAACATCTTTTATTTCCTAGCAACAAAAATTGCACACAGTCATTCCACAATAGCCTATAGTTACATACGTCAGCCCTATTAAATGAAAGAGGGGACTACTACACAAGAATATGAATAACAAGAAGTAGTAATCTTTGAGAGCCACCTTAAAAGATGGTTTCCACAGACTTGCTAGTTGGATTATACTAAATTGGATTAGCTAGCAGCAGAACAGTATTACTTCTGGCATCTGTCACTAATATCTCCTAAGTTTAAATGTTAGCTAATTTTTTTTTAATATAAAACTCTTCTATCTAGCCACCTCTAACTATTGTTTTGAGATGGTGAAACACAGCATTCCTCTGGCTTAAATTTTTTGCAAAATGTTTCCCCTTCTCCCAACCTGCTAAATCCAATTTTTCCTTCAAGGAGCAAGTGAAACAACTTCCTTGACCATGAAAATGCCTACCTGTACCCCAGTGTCTTAGTGCTCAATAACAACACCTTCTCCTAAATTCCTTTAGTGCAACCAAATCCTGTGTTGCCTCGCTTTGTTTTTATCTTTGACCCTACTAAATAGAAAGTAGGTTTAGTAGGATCCCAACTAAACAGAAAGCCCTACAGAGGAGAATTTTTATACTGTATAGCTTGCTATATAACCTAGGTTCATACAGAAGGTTGGTCAATAGAGGACTGCTAATAATGAGGTTGTTAAGTGCCTAATGTAACATTACTCACAATCAGATGTTGTAATAAATGCTTCTTTATCACAATGAACAGATTGTATTGTTGTCACCTATAGGTTGGGAGAAAATGTGTTCTTCCTTTATATTGATTCAAGTTATAATTCTGAATGCAATTGTGTTTTACTTGAGAATGAAAATACAACACAGATTGTTAAAATTTCAAGATCTTTAAAAAGTCTGGATTTTTAAAAATTATCATGTCTTTTTTCTTCTTAATCCTGCAGTAGGAAGGAGTTGGAAACTATAAGGTGGTTTAGTTTGATGATGAATCGATCAATGCCAACAATTTAAACCACAGTGTCAGGTTTGGGAGCAGCCTAGTTCAAACAGAAAGATCAGTTCTATTTTGGAGGGCTAGGAAAGCAAGAATAAGATTGTTGACTGCCTAGTTTGAGCCAGATGGTTTATAGTCATCAATTTATCCAGTCCTTACGCAAGTGTGTGTGTTTTATTATACCCCTTAACATGCAAGAAAACTAAAGTGCGAAGAAATCAAGTAACTTTCCCAGAAAAGTGATAGGGCTGGAACTTGAATCCGGGTCTGCAGGCCCCCAGGCATGAAAGGAAGCTCTGAAATCCTGCTCCATCCACCACATAGCACTGGCTTTCAAGACGAACTAAATGCAGGTCAAATTGAGTGGTTAGCATACAGCGGTGACAAAGGGCCAAGGAGTAGCTGTCTCGCTCAGAGCTTAGCTTTTCCCGAGTTTCCTCCTCAGTCCCCCAGCCGACCAAAGATCACAGCTGGGTCTCTTTAAGAGGAAACACTGAGATGTAAACTATTGCTCTAAAAGATGCTATGCTCTTGGACTCTGAATTGCAGGAGCATTGGGAGCGCCATTTTTGTTGGAGGACCCAGCAAACCAGTTCCTACGTCTCAAAAGACATGTAAATTTGCAGGATTACTGGGACCCAGATCACAGTTCAGATGTGTGGGGAAACACACTGGCTAATCAGGTATTTATGTTAGAAACAAATGGTCCTTCACCATTTATCTTTTTAAATGGTAATTGCATTAGCTGACCACTAATTAACACACGACTAGCCTATCCCTGATTTTTCTTCTCTGGACACTCTGAGCTACATCTACTTTTTCCTCCCCATGAAGTGGTTTTTGCCTGGTAAACTCTGCCTCTTGCTTAAAGACTAAACTCAAATGTCCCCTCCCCTCTGAAGCTTTTCCCTTCTTCTCAGGGTGACATTTGTCTTTCCTTCTCTCCCTTTTTGTATGCTCTTTCACAAGTAAATAGCTCTCAAAATGTCAATTGGAATTACTTGTTTTGTGTACCCAGCCTACCTACCTGGACTATAAAGGTAGGGTCTGTATCTTATCCTTCAAGGTAATTATTCTCGGAAACTAGCAAAAAGATTGTTATATAATCAAAGCTTAATAAATTAGTACATGTTTGTGTAGATGGATGAATGGATAGTGGTCAGACTTAGGTCACTTTCAGTTGTTCAGTAGCTAAATATCCTCTGTGATAATTATTCAAGGCTTTAATGTGGTTCCTCCATTTGCTTGCCTTTTGTACGTTTTCCTATTCATTTGCATTCTTGCTGCAAGAGAAACAAAGAAGAAACTTGCATCGGCCTTTTTTATTCTATGTTTACTTTTCTGATAGAAGAAGACATTAAAACTCCAGGCCAAATGAAATTGCTGAATTATCTGAGGATTTCAATTATTCATGATCTCCCTCTTACAATTTAGCAATTTAGGAAACAAAGCTGTACGATGAATGAATTAATTCCTTCACTTATTCTTTCTCTCTTTCCACATATCTCAGGCTCTGATTATCGTCAGGCATGAGGACTGTATAAAGCCATAAAAAGTTGAATGTCCTTGTTTTCATGGGGCCTTGATCCTGTCCTTACTCCACATGACTAGGTCTTAACTGGTCTACCAGGATCTGCTTGTTTTGCACTTGCTGATGAAAACCACTAACTGAATAATGCATCTAGTTTTATAGCTGTTTTTGTCCAATAGGCATTATTTAGCATTATTGAAACAAGACATTTGTTTATTTGGCCAATTAAGTAATTAAGTAGGCTGGTAGACTGTGTCTTCTTTATAGAATGTTGACATTTTCAGGTACACTCCTGCCTCTACTTGTAGACCAGTTTTGTACCAACTGACAGACACTATGTAATGTAGCAAGACTCTACCACATTGGTTTATACTGTGGCCCCACAAGTACTGTAAAATATCTGAGCATTGAAATAAACAGATTATTAAAAGTATGAAAACCAAAGTCTATTGGTATAATTCTTCCATTATCTTTTTCTCATCTTTTAGGAATAGCTATATGATAATCAGAATAACTGATGCAAGATATGTTCTACACGTTCAGAGATCATGACTTGTGTTTCCTTTTCTTGCAGGCTCGTGAAACGTGGATTGCTTTGAAAACAACAGCACAGTATTATTTGGATGTGAATACCTTCACCTTTGACACATCTATTGCCCAGTAAATATGTTTTCCTGGTTAAAGCAGGAGGATGAAGACGGTGGAAGTTGGAATGGCATTGCGCCAAAACCATGGGTTTTGGAGACCTGAGGGTATATCCATGCTGTTTACTACATTATTTCTTATGTCTGTCTCAAAGTTGTTGAAAAGAGTAATTATGAAAACCCATGTAGAAAGCTGGAATAGGACAGTCTCAATAAATGGTAGTTCTCAAAAAAAAAAACTTAAAAAAAAAAAGGCTGTAGTAATAACATTTACCAAAAAGATGGCATTTATGGGAAAAGGAAAGCGAAAACAAACAAAAAAAAAGTAGTCTCATTAAACCACTCTGTTCATAGTTTTTACTCTCTATTGCCTCTTCTTTGAGAGAGTTTTTTAATTCAAAGAGGGGCAGGGAGCTCTCAAATGGAGCTGATCTTCTTCTCTCTTCTTCAGTGCTTGTCACCTTTTTAAGTCAGTCTATTTTAAAACCATGATTTTGAAATGTTTTTCATCAAAGATGTACTGCTGAGTGGAGAGTACAGCCTTAACTTATATAACACAGTAGATAGTGGCTAGGAACTTAATGAAGTCATTCACTTGTAAGTGCAAACTGCCTTCGAAGTTTTGTAAAATATTTGTAAGTTTTGCATTCTGTTCCATAAGGTATTGATGTTTGTTTTAATATGTAAAAACAGTTTTGACTCACTGACCAGGCACATTTTATAATTTTTTCAAATAAAACTGAAAAATTGGCCATAGGGAAAAGTGAACTGCATTTATCCTGTAACTTTCCTTATATTCGTGGATTACCACCTCAGTTTGGGAAGCACTGAGATGATATAACTAATTGCCAAGATTGCCCCCTCACCCCAAAATCACAGGTAAATGGAATTTTTGTCTTCAGGAGTCTATTTATCTCCATTCTGTATTCTCTACTTCAGTTGTTCTCTATAACAATTTATTCTGAACGTTTAAGGTAAATGGAAACATTTCCCTAAGACCTTAGTTGATCTTATGTGGTCTTAAAACAATCTTAAGCACTTTTGAGTAAATCAGAAAAACAAAATGCCAAGAAGCTGTACTGGAAGGACTTTGGCCTCAGCAATTTCTTCTCCAAAAGGACACTGACAGCTGCTCAGTATTCCACATTTCCCATCCTATGGCCTAGAGGTATTTTCAGTGAGAAATTTAAGGCTAATTTATAACTTATTAATTTAACTGCTATCCATTTCCAATAAATATAAATAGATTTTTTAATTACATCTGAACAAACAAAAGATGATGAATCATTTGGTTTTGCAGTGGGAAATAAGTTTGAGATTGTACATAAATATATCTTCAGTGTTTTAACAATAATATACATTTTACTAACAAACACAAAGTTTCATTTAATTATTTAATAAAAAATTGAGAATACCTGTGTATTGGGGTTCTCCAGAGAAACAGAACCAATAGGATATGTATATATAGAGATACTCCTGAACTTACAATGGAGTTACATCCCAATAAACCCATCACATGCTGAAAATATCATAAGTCAAAAGTGCATTTAATACACCTAACCTACCCAACCTCATAGCTTTGCCTAGCCCACTGATATGGTTTGGCTGTGTGTTCCCACCCAAATCTCATGTTAAATTGTAATTCCCATGGCCAGGCACAGTGATGCACACCTGTAATCCCAGCACTTTGGAAGGCTGAGACAGGCAGATCACCTGAGGTCGGGAGTTCAAGACCAGCCTGACCAACATGGAGAAACCCTGTCTCTACTAAAAATACAAAATTAGCCAGGCGTGGTGGCACATGCCTGTACTCCCAGCTACTTGGGAGGCTGAGGCAGAAGAATTGCTTGAACCTGGAAGGCAGAGGTTGCGGTGAGCCGAGATTATGCCATTGCACTCCAGCCTGGGCAACAAGAGCAAAACTCCATCTCAAAAAAACCCAGAAAATTGTAATTCTCAGTGTTGGTGGCAGGGCCTGGTGGAAGGTGTGGCGATCATGGGGGTGGTTTCTAATGGTTTAGCACTATTTCCTTAGTGCTGTCTTGTGACAGAGTTCTCACAAGATCTGGTTTTTTAAAAGTATGTAGCACCTCTCCTTAGCTCGCTGTCTCCTGCCACCATGTGAAGATTTGCTTGCTTCCTCTTCACCCTTCCGCCATGATTGTAAGTTTCCTAAGAACTTCCCAGTCATGTCTTCTGTACAGCCTGTGGAAGCCAATTAAACCTCTTTTCTTTATAAATTATCCAGTCTCTTTACTGCAGTGTGAAAATGTACTAAACATACTTAAACATACTCAGAACACTTACCTGGGCTTACAGTTGGGCCAAATCATCTGGCAACACAGTCTACTATAGAGTACTATAGTGTGGCTGATTGGGAGCCATGGCTGGCTGCTGCTACCCAGCATCGGGAGAGAGTTCCATACCACATATTGCTAGCCTGGGAAAAGATCTAAATTCAAAATTCAAAGTAGGGTTTCTATTGAATGTGTATCACTTCCACACCATAATTAAGCTGAAAATTTCTAAGTTGAATCATAGTAAATAGAGGACTGACTGTAAAGAGAAAGAGATTGATTTTAGGGATTGACTCATGTGATTATGGAGGCAGACAAGTCCAAAGTCTTCAGGGTGGGCAGGCAGGCTTCAGGCGGGGGAAGAGCCCACGCTGCATTTAACACCCAACACAGTCTGCTGGCAGAATTCCCTCTTCCTTACGATAGGTCAGTCTTTTGTTCCTTCCAAGACTTCAACTGATTAAATAAGACTCATTCATATTATACAGGATAATCTCCTTAACCCAAAGCCAATGAATTTAATGTAAATCTTATCCAAAAATACCCTCACAGAAGCATTCAGAATAATATTTGACCATGTTTACATATTCTACTGGAGGATTACAAATGTAAATACTGTGGTGACTCTGAATTCTTCTGAAGCAGGTTTTCATTGTGAAGTTTAAAGGGAATTCTGTTGGTTTGCCTTCTTCACCTGCTCCGTATGGGGCCCACTATGTAACTGGAAATGACTGGTAAGGATAATCCTACTAAATCCAGACTCCCAGAGGCTTCTGTCCAAATTTGAGGTTCACCGGTCTGACTCTACACAAGCAATATTCTGCCTAAGCTTTCCTGCATTTTCTGTAGAACCAGTCAACATATATGCCAAGGATCAGGCTGACCCTTTTTATGTCTCTTGGACATCCTACCTTCTAGAATTCCTGTATTGCTGATTCACATGCTTTCCCAGTGGACATTTCAATGCTATATTAGTCCAGGGAAACAATTCCAAGTCTTCCTTTGATGATATGAAAGGCATGGTGCTAATCTTGTTATGGATCCTATTCCACCATTTTTCAAAACCTTCAACTGATTAAAAAAAGGAAGTTAACATTTATTGAGATATATATTTTGCTGTGCGCTATACTAAACCGTTATACTCTTTACCTTATTGAATTATAACAATCTGATTAGCTGGTCCTACAGATCCCATTTTAGGGCGATGAAAATTAAGGCTTAAATTGTCTAGATAGAGCTAACTAGAGGCAGCTCTGTAATAGCAATTAAGAATGTCTAGACTTCTGGCCAGGCACAGTGGCTCACTCCTGTAATCCCAGCACTTTCAGAGGCCAAGATGGGTGGATCACTTGAGGCCAGGAGTTCGAGACCAGCATGGCCAACATGGTGAAACCCCATCTCTACTAAAAATACAAAAAAAAAAAAAAATGAGCCAGACATGGTGGACTGCACCTGTAATTCCAGCTACTTGGGTGGTTGAGGCATGAGAATCGCTTGAACCTGGGAGGTGGTGGTTGCAGTGAGCTGAGAGAGCACCACTGCTCTCCAGCCTGGGCGATAGAGTGAGACTCTTTCTCAAAAAGAGATGTCTAGACTTCAATCATGGCTCACTTTGGCTGGCTGTGGAGTCTTATTGACACCTCTCTGTGCTCAGCTTCCTCTTTAGTAATATGGGAATAATTGGATCTACTTATTGTGAGGAATAAATAAGATGAGGTAGAACAGCGCCTGGCATAGGACTAAGCACTCAATAAAAGTTAGGTATTACTATTAGCTTTCCTAAGATCACATAAAAGTCTGTGCTCTTTTTGGTTTTTCACAATGTATTCCAGAATTCTGTTATCTATAACTCAAACCTCCCCCAAACTTGGCCTTTTAAAATTATTTCGTCTACTCCCCTCAAATACTCTTTCTATCGCGTATGATTTATTGATTCATGTATTCACTCATTTAACAAACACAACTGCCATCTTTCCTTGGCCTAGGCATGGTGAAGGTGCAAAGAGGACTGAGACAAAGTTTCTTCTCCATAGAGCTTCGAATTTAGTAAGAGAGAAAAACATCCACTGCATTTATACAGAGGAAAGCTACATTGATTCAAATTACAAATTTGTATGTACACAGAGGATAGACAACTTACTCAGCCTGGGGGATTCAGGGAAGGTTTCACTGAGGAGGTGGATTTAGATTTAGGTTTCAAAGAATGCAGAAGAGTAACATATGCATATGTAATTAGAGCATATAAAATGGCTATAACTACAACTTTTATTTATAGCAGTTTATAGTACACTTACCTACATTCATCACTATCACTGTTGTATGTAAGTATACCATTACCAGGAGGCTGAGGCAAGAGAATGGCATGAATCCAAGAGGCGGAGCTTGCAGTGAGCCGAGATCACACCACTGCCTCCAGCCTAGGTGACAGAGCGAGACTCCATCTCAAAAAAAAAAAAAAAAAGTATACCATTATAGTATTGCAGCGCAGTTGGCCTTCCATATCAGTAGGTTCTACATCCACCAATTCAACCAACTGTGGATCAAAAATATTTGAAAAAATGAACAATAAAAAATAACAATAAGACAACTAAAAATAATACAAATGTTAAAAGCTGTACCCTATAGCACCTATTTACATAGCATTTCCATTGTATTAGGTATTATAAGTAATCTAGAGATGATTTAAAGTATACATGAGGATGTGCATACATTATATGAAAATACTATGCCATTTTATATAAGGGACTTGAATGTCTGCAGATTTTGGTATCTGTGGCTGGGGGAGGGGGTCCTGGAACCAACCCTCTGTGGATAGCAAGGAACAGTTTTAAGGTTAGGATTTAATTAAGATTTATATTTGTAACTCCAACAATATCTAGGACAATGTCTGGTGTGCAGTAAGTGTTTGATGAATAAATGGGTACTGATGAGGATGATGCCTATCAGAAAGTCATAGTCACAAGAGTTTGCTCTTACCTTTTATGTCAGTGACAGGATAAACAAATACGATGTGATGTAATTTATCCTCATTGCTGTCCAGTGAGTCAGTAAGAGAACTGAATAAGAACTCAACAGTATTTTTTCATTTCCGCTTCTTCAGTTTCATCCACACAGCAGAGCCAGTCTCAAAAGATATCCATTTTTGTGCCAATTCATTATAATTTAAATAGAATAACTAATGGATGAGAACCACTGTACACATAACAAATTAAAAATGAAGGTATTTAATTTCTTGTGTGGATTTTACTTATTCCATTTACTTTCCTCAGATTGATCTCAAATATCTCAAGCAATTGAATCAGGCAGAAAATATATATATCTCACACTGTTATCTTCAATGACAGTGGCAGTCTGAATGAATTTTATTGAAAGTAATTTAGCATTGACTGGTTAAATATACAAACTACTCATCTAAATCAGAGATAGTGCCGGACTACTTCAAATTAGAGACAAAAAACAAAT